TCGAACAATATATGCAACCTCAGTAATGCTTTTTAGAGCATATGTGTTGAAAAAAATATAATATTCTAAATCTTCTTCGGCTGAATGATCCGGATTCGTTTAGGAAACGAAGTGCAAAGAGCACGCTGACGAGAATCATCACCTTTATCAGCCTATTAATGACCCCACTGCTGGGCCACAGGTCTTCCCTATGGATTGTATAAGGATATGGCGTCATGACCCACCACGCGGCTACAGTGCGGATTTGTGGATGCAGCCGGAATTAACGTAGGAGCTCGAGATAATACACTTTTGGTCACCCGACCAATGACCGACCATTACAATCACAGTGCGAACTTGTTAACCACCGGCGCCATCGATCTTCATCCTGAAGATGATATTCACATTAATTAAGGAATAAACTATTAGTTTTCGCAGAGAAGTTTGATTTATCCCACACAGCCTACGAGGCCTACGCTAGTGACGTCAACACCGACGTGGAACTATGAGAGTGACATTTATACTGATTGTGTTAGATTTAGCTATCACCTTTAATGCTCTTACTCAATATCGCACTATGAAGTAATACCCCGCAAAGGGATTAAAACGTACCGCTTTTCCTGTATGTATGTGAACCATAAGTATATTATATCCTGAATAGCTAAAATAAGATTTATATTTCTTTTTCGACAATTAAGTGAAACTTTTAAAATAAACTAAATTCAGCGGCTTCATGCAAACTGAGTTAATGGACTTTTTAGTACAACAAAAGTAAGCCAATATAAAATACTAACTATAAATAATAACTTACTTTTTTTTGTGGGAGGGGGGGGGGGATGCCCTACTCGAACAAAAATTTGCACTTTAAAGTACAATACCTCGCAAACAAATCCGTAAGTTATTTTTAAGGACCTTTTCAACGGTACCCCTCACGATGGGATAGACGATGAAAAACTAAAATTTTAATTAAAGGTTACATGTAGAACCCTGCATTATTTTTTTTCCAAAATTTATTCTACGATTTTGTCGGCATGATTGTTATATATATTTCCACAAAATTACAGCTCGCTAGTGCTAACAGTCTCCAAGAAAAAACAGGGACGGACAGACAGATATAACAAAACTATAAGGGTTCCTTGTCAGGACTACGGAAACCTAAAAACGTAAAGTTACTGCGACTCAGAAGTCGTTGCCGTTGGTACTCGCTGTAGCGTTGTGGAACTAATGATATTTTATTGTGGTTTTAGAATAGTTTTTTATTAGATTTTGTTGCAATGGAAGGTTTTACCTCATCCTCATCTATGTCAATGTTAATGTAATCTTCTAAAGAAATTTTTTCCAACCAAACTCTTAAACTAAAAAAAAAATTCACTTTAAAGTTCAATATTTCGCAAACGGATTCCTAAATCGAAATATAGTCTTAGGAACTCCGCAGTAATTTTAAAGGATCTATTCAACGATATCCCACACGATGGGGTAAGATGAAAAAATAATGGAATGCTCTGGGGTGGGTACTTTTTGATATGATCAATCAGCCCAAGACCATCTTTTTGCATCCTACTGCTCGCCATAGACACGAAATTCATTGTCATACCTTGGAATCAAGTTGGTCACGTTTTCATTTCAGAGATATTTTTTTTTTCGTACGATTAAACTGTGGATTGAATAAGTTCCTTTCAGAGGTTTTCCCAAAGGAATCGGCAAAGCACGAGTGATACACTCTTAGTGTTGCAGGCGTTCATAGTTCACGATAACCGCCTATCATCAGTGAAATAAGCTATCTGTTTAATGTTTAAAATAAAATATTTAAAAATATATATAGGTACCCCCACTTAAAATTAATTAGTTCTCCAAAGAAGAAACATTATCTTAGGCTGTATTGTGCGTTTAGTTTGATTCCATACTCACATTATATCTGTTTTTAATAAGTTACGGCTGTATTCAGAGACGTGAATAATTTTAAAGTTTAACCTTTTATATTTTTGATATCACTTTATTTACAATGGCAGTAGATGTAGCGATAAGTTAGAGACGTATGAATATTTAAAAATAAACATGTAAAGAAACCATAGAGCAACACAGAAGGGAGTAGCCATAGCAACGTAATACTACTCAAATCATTCTGCAATATGCACCAAATGCAGTTTGTGTGCAAACGTGCATGCATAAAAAACAAAACTGTAATTACAATACTCACACACAAACAATAACACAATACACCGCTAAATCCTGCACACATAGGTATATTATGAGTATTTTTATGCCCAATTCGACAGAGGGCAAATCTGTATATGCCTACCGACCACCTTTTCGCGACGGCTATGTTGCTCTATGAAAAAGCCTTTTGGTGCTGTCATCAAAAGTTACTTGCTATTTAAAATACTTAGATACCTACTTTTCCGCAGAAGCTATCTCCTAATATTTTAGAGCCAGACAAAATTGAACATTTCATGCAAAATAGTGTTATCTCAGCGCAGATTCGACGTAGAACACAGTTTTAAGAGGTTCATTGTCTCGAACGGTATGCAAGTAAAGTTAAGAACTCATATTTTTGTAAAGACACTGGACTTTACTGGAGAGGAAAATTATTTATAGCTATTCAGCAAATTTGTGTCTTTTCCCATTCATGAAATTACACTTTTGTGAAAGTATATTTGAGAGGCTCCACGGAGTAGGGGATTCGGTTAGGGGAGGTAGCGATGAGAATGGTATTTTTTGTATCGCAAAACCAAAAATTATTATCGCCAGCTTCTTTGCGCTTTGTAACAAGGAGCCAATGGTTCTATGCCATTCGGAAAATGTTTTAACATTTGATAAGTACTTTGTTACTGACTAATTTTTCTTTATCTTTGGATTTATTTAATAATAATAATATAATAATAATAATTTATTGCATAAAATTATGGTATAAAAGGTGCTTGATTATAAATAAATAAATATGTCTCACATATTTTACTGTTAAACAGCATGCAACAGTTTTTAAATCAACTTAAAATAAAAGTGTAATGCTTGTCAGCTTATCAGTATCATGGCAAGATCATTTTATACTCAATATTATACAATGTCAAATAAATATAAAATTATCCATCAAAATCTAAATAATAAATGTCCAATGTTAAAAATCTGTTTTCTCACAAGATTCCAATAATCATATAATAATCATTTATAATGTCAATAGCAATATACTTTCTGTGAAAATTGCAGTTAGTTATGGTTTAGTAACGCGGTTCCTTTGGCTTCCTTTGGATAGACACGGGAAAATTAAAGAAGCCAATTCCAAAATTATTTTGCTAAAACTTTTAGACGGAATGACATTTTGTTAAGTACGATAAAGTTAAAATTACCTGTTTGCCACAGACGTCGTAATGTTATAGCTAATTAAAAAATAAACTTAATAGCTCGCCTCTGCGATTCTTCTTAATAGCAGTTAGCTAGGAAGTACGCCAGCACCGATATTACTTTTAAATGAAGACAGTTTGCGGCCGGGAACTCGGAACTTTCTTAATGTTGCGATGGATCATATCAAACTTTTATAAAATCTTTTCCATCAATATAATATGCAGAAATAAGCTTTATGTTTAGTTCAAACATTAAAGATTATATCACAAAAGAGTTATTAGGCAACAGTATCTAATACCTAATGCTTTGTAGTTACAACCATTTTTATGAAAATTTAAGATAACCGTTAAACTCTTGGTGCCTCACCACCAAAAGTTAGTCGAGCGTATTTTTCTATTGTTAGACGCGGTTAATCTTTTATTTATTATTGAAGAAAGAAGCTTTCTTTCTTTAAAAAAATCTTTCACGCAAACCTCGTGCTAACGATTTACGAACAACGAGTAACTTAGCCTAATCAGCCATTTTCGGATGATAAAATTACCTATTGAAAAGCGGCAATTGACTTCTATTTATAACGACGCTTAACACAAAAAGCAATAAACAAAAATTACCGAGTGTGAAAAGTAAATACTTCCACTGTGTAATGTAATCAAACGGCGAGATACTATTGAACTATTCGGTGTAATTGTTTGTTTATCTCCTTTCACACGAGAATCCAATCTCGCTGGGATTGCCGATTTCCGCGGATTACCTCGACACAAATAAACACAAGCTGTCCATAGCGTAGCAACTTCCGAAGCCAAATATAATCTCCAGTGAAAAGCATTGTGTCGATTTCGTGAATGTGACTTTTCGTTGCGTTGCAATTTGCCGGTTCGCGAACTCTTTGTTAAATAGTATATTTGGACTGATTATGACATGATTCTTTAAACTAAAAACAAATTTTGACAACAAAATTTTAGTATTTGGCATAACTTGGTACACTGTTGTCTTTAATTTTAGATTTAGAGAATTATGTCGGAAACGGGCTTACTAAGCCCCTTTCCATGTAAGAGGTAACATTACATTCACAGAGCATTTCATTAAATTCTCTGTAAATTAAGTGTTATCTGTTACAACCATTGTGAAACTATTGAGCTTTTTAAGAAATTTACTGCTAATTAATTTTATATCTATACTAGTGGCCCTCCCTCGCTTCGCTTCGGTGTAGAGCTGTAGTGTAGATTAAAATGACTCTACTTAAAATTATAAAAAAAAACTGAAAATGGTATGTTTGCCTTTTCCAAACTTCTATTGGTCACGTCACTCAATTGTTTTACCTCTCCACTAACATTTGAAATTTATGGTATGGTATTAAAGTTCAAATTGACTTTTAAGTATTATTTACAAATCGTTTGTATGGGAGTATAGAAGTGTTGTTTTTGGACATTTTCAGGCATTTTTTTTTAATTTTTCTATGCGTAAGAACCATCCTAGTACTTCAAGGTATATTCTAAAAAAATCGAAATCGGTTCAGCTGTTCTCGAGATTTGCGCTTAGCAACACATTCAGCGATTATTTTTTATATTATAGATAAATTACTCGGGCCGCAGCTCAAATTCTTTTCATTGTTTCAGATAACCGAGTAATGTGTACCAAAAGCAGTGTGGTTATGTGTGCCAAAGTGTAGTGCCAATGTGAAAATGGGGTGTACACCGAGTATGCTGCTGGACCACAAAAGCCGGCGGCGCGGCAGCTCCGGCTCTCAGGAGGCGGCGCTGGCCAAAGTCGCACCCACGCCGGTCTGCAACAAGGCCGTGCAAGCCGCCAGAGCCCCCAGGGCCTCCTTGGAATCCGATGGCTTCAGCATACAGCTGTCAAGCAAGAAGGACAGCTACGTGTCGCAAATGGGAAACAATTTTGCGACACAGCTCCACATCAAGAGAATATCTGGTAAGTTTGTAATGGTAATCTTATACGAAATGCCACATCGTTTAAAAGATATAAAACAATCCAACAGTTTTCCATTAACCAAAAATACAAAATCTATTATACCCAATTTCTCTTTAAAACTTATTTCTTAGAGAAGCGCCAGATTTACTTCTTATTTTACTTTCGCGGACGCAGCAAAAAATATATAAAACAAGAGACACCGTAATAATTAAAATGTTCTCCTAAAAAAAATGTCCCTCAAAATAATTCTAAGTGGCACTTTTGCGTCTCTGTTTCTTTAGATTTGAAAATTGTTTAGATCCAAATTACTTTTGATTTACTAAGGAATCAAACAGAATACTTTGCAGGTAAATACATACTATTAACGATTAAATACCTAGACTAGCGTAGTAGAACTGTGAAATAATTATTAATCGAATAAAGTTTAAATTGTAATTCAATGAGTTTTACGTATTGTTTTAACGCAATCAGTATCTGTCTTGAATATTTGTATTTATTTGAAAATCAGGTATTTCAACTCTAATACAGCTTTGGGTTTAGGTTGATCTGCAGGCGTAGTTGAAGTCTCATTTTTACATGGCTTAGGTAATACTTGCGTGGTATAATTTTCATTTGCTGTATCATTAAGGTCTTCGTCTGACGCTGATTCAGTACTGATCTCTTTATCACCATTTATTAACCAATTGAGGTAAATTAAACCATTACGCAGGCTTTTATTTATTTTTTCATCAACTGTGGTGTTTCCAACGGCATTTTTTACTATAGCAGTGACAATACCTTTAAAGTCCCTTTCTTCACATTTTTCTTTATCACCATGTGGACAGTATTCTAATCTTTTAAATTTTGCTATAGCTGTTAGGATCTCTTTCAGTTTTTCTATTTCAATCTTTTCTGGTATTCCATAGCTGGACCAGTTGGTGATGTAACGATATGACTTCGTAATTGTTCGGCCAGGTTTCTTTGTTGTTGATCCATTTTGAGCATTGATTAAAACGCATGTCAGAATCAGCTGAAACAGGTTAATTAAGTCCATTGAATAACAGTCATTTTAATGTTCCACACTAATTTGTCACTGAAAAAAAATCAATTACACTGCAAGAAGATTTATTATATATATATATATATTCTTGTTTTATTTCTACATATACATATATATTTCTACATAGAAATAAAACAAGAAAATTAATACCAGAAATGTCATCGAAACATTCCTACCTGCTAGTTTGCCTGTATCAGCATTTTTAAATACTTCATTTCACATTACTTCAAAATATATCGTTAATCTTCATTACACGACTTTTAATACGAATATGTTATGAACAGAAAAATAAAATTGAAACTGCGTTCCATTGTACTTACTAAGAGCAATACTGGTTTCATTGTGCGCGATGATGGAGGGTGATTCCGATAAACGTTGTTATTTCAAAGGAAGGCGACAAATCAATCCACATGTAAACTAATCTAGCAATTAAGTTGTTCCTTGTAGTTCTTAATGGATTTCCCAAGAAAACTGGTAGTGAATTATAATTAAATGTTAAAGTAGCGGTCTGTGAAATTCTTATGGAACCTTTCCGTGACGTGCTCGTGTCGCCTCTACGAATAAAAGAAGGAAAATAATTAAATAATCCTTAAGGAAATGGAAACCGATCACTTAAGTAAACAATTGTTCACGTTAATGTTATGGTCACTGTTTGGTAGTAAAAAAGTGATGGTCACCGTTTGGTAGTTTAGCGCCGCCGGAGTCATTGATCAGAACTTCTTACCAAAGGGGGTGAGCATTACTGCAGATGTGTAATGTGACCTGAACACAATGATGGAGAAGCTCGCACATCTTCAATCAGCTTTAGTCAATTGTTCGGCTCCTGCACGACAACGCGCGACTTCGTACTGCACAGCAAACGCTCTCCATGTTACAAGAGCTGGGGTTGGAAGTTCTCCGACATTACTTTTTCCATAATTTGGATAACTATTAAAGGGGAAAAAATTTAAAAACCGAGAGGCAGTTCAGAATAGCCTTTGAAAAATTTGTTGCCTCCCGTCCAGCAGACCTTTTCAAAAAAGAGCATCAATTAGTTACTACGTTGGAAAAATGCATTGAATGCGTGCGTGACTTTGATAAATAAAAATAAAAAAATAAAGAAAAAATGGCGTTAACTTATTTCATGAAAAATGCCAATTTCATAGGGTCAAATCTAATATACAAATCGGCATTAAAATCTGTGGCAAGGCATTATCAAAGCTTTACAACTTTTCTCTAGAACTGAATCATCGTCAAGGCAGCGTTCGTAAGAAAAGTTTTCGTTCAAGTGTTATTCCTCCGACTTGCAAATCCGACTACTACGATAAAGTCATTTAATTTTTCAGCTTATTATAAGTTTAGCCTATGACACTGACAATATCGTGGCTTTCTATTGGTAAAAAGATTTTACTCAAACATACTTTGATATTTGAGCATTATTTTGACAACCTTTTTCGAGATAAATCGAAATTAGCCATAGCCAAATATTCATATCTGCCGTATAATTGAAAAATGGAACGATCTTTTACTCTGAAACATCGCAACCAAGGAGGTAACTTATTAAAGGTTTTATTTAAAGTTCACACGGGATTGCAAATAGAAGGAACTGTTTATTGAAAAAAAAACAAATGAATATTTTTAGGCTCGGAGCATATATGTACGGTTTCCTGATTCGGTTTCCAGATCAGGAATTCCGATTCGGAAACCTAAATGCACGTCCTTAGATTCAAAATATTCAGCGAGGCGCACACTATTCTTATTTTATCAGAATGGAAAAAACCATAACGTTCGGTTCGGAATCCAACTAATAAAAAACTCTGCGCTAGGTTTACGGAATTCCGAATCTGAATTCCTGCAGGCCTATTCGCCAACTGCTTTTGACAGATTGAAGTGATAATCACCAAGCTATTTAGTGGTCCACTACTAATTAATTATAACGCCACTAAGATACTTGTTCTGAAAAGCATCGATAGATATGCAATTTCCTCTTTCGTTACACACTGTAAATGTCAAAAAAGTTAGCGAATAAGCCGGCTGATCAGGAAACAGTATATATGCGCCCAGTCAAATTATCGTTGTTCGTTGTTCGTCATTGATATTTTTTGAAAGGTAATTGTATTAATATCCGCGCCTTATTTGAGAAAAGTACTATACAAGCCTTGGCCATAACTTGGGATTGATGGGGTAAAGTATGAGTGCAATTATATTTTTATGCTGATATAAATTTGGTTATACATAAAATTATGCTTATCGGGCAGAGAAAATTACATAATATCTACCTTCTATAGACGGTTCTATACATTTTATATCAAAACTGCTGTATTTATTATGTATATCTTCTCTAATATATAAAATTCTCGTGTCATGGTGTGCGTAATTGAACTACTCCGAAACGGCTCGACCGATTTTCGTGAAATTTTATATGCATATTTAGTAGGTCTGAGAATCGGACAACATCTATTTTTCATCCCCCTAAATGTTAAGAGTGGTCCAAACTTCATTTTTTTGGATATTTTTTTTTGTTTTTATATTTTTATGATACATCAAAAATAGACACAACCCTAAATTTTTACCCTTCTACCACAAACCCCTATTTTTTATGGCGGCACGAAGTTCGCTGGGACAGCTAGTATTATATTAACATCTTATGCTTTCACGCATTTCACTCACTAAATAAAACACAACGGGTTTAAGATGAGTTTTACAATATTTTTATATATATCTACGTTTAATATACATATGTTTCGGATCCTCCTATATAGACTAACTATTACAGGTTTGTATAGACCGAAACGTACGTAGATAATTTCATATTATCATCACATATTATGTATAAAAATATTGAAAAAAGCATCTTAAATATGTATAAGTATATAATAAGGATAGTATTAAAAGACGCATCTGAAACCCATGGAAACAGTGTTGAATTACGTGTATTTAATATATGTATGAGTTCACAGATTTAGTATGCCGAAAAACAAAAAAAAATGTTCGTACTTTGTAAAAAAGTTAACTCAATTATCTAAAACAAAATAAAACTCGGAACAAAACTCATTAATGAAACAACGAGAATGGAGATTTTAATTAATCAACCCACGACCCGCACGTCAATCCAGGTCAATCCTATAGAAATATAATATAGGTAACAATTGTGCCCACTCTATTGGAATATCCCTTTGGTAATTTACTCGAACTTCTTTAATTAAAAAAATACAGCTTCTGTACATTTGGGCAGCCAGTAATTCGTCACACACGTTCATTTGATCGATAAACAGGAATGAGATCGAGCAAATTTACACTAAGCGATTGCAATGGGCGAACGGAAACATAAATTGCACGTGAGAGGTTTGACCCCTCTTAGCTGGGTTCCATGGAGTTTTAGACGTTGCGTTGTTGGTGGAGGCCAAAATATATCTTACTAGCTGTGCCCCGCGGTGTTACCCGAGGTTTATTAGGGATATTTGCCCGCAGTAAAACGTAGCCTATGTGTTAACCCAGGGTGTCAGCTAACTCCATACCAAATTTTATTAAAAACACTCTAGCCGTTTAGACGTGAAGAAGTAACAAACATACACACTCACACACTCACAAACATTCGCCTTTATAATATTAGTGTGATTTTGCACCTTGGACTAGCGGCCATCTTTATATTCTAGCGAACGCTAATAATTACAAACATTGATTTCGAAAATCTATCAAACATTAGATTTATTGTACAGATTAACAAGCTTGTGATACAATAAAATATATAAAGGCGCATTTACACTTGGTCGTCAGCCCGTATTCGGATGCACGAAAGATATTACTCGAATTCGGGCACCCGATCCAATATTTACATTGTTTTTACTCGAACACGGGCTGAAAGACGTAATAATCAAAAGGAAAACTGTCCGAATAAGGTCGTACTCGTCTCCGTTCATTTACAATTAGTCGTTGGTCCGTACTATAGGCAATCGTATTCGGGTTAACCACCAAATGTAATTGCGCCATAATGTTTATTGCTTAGTTTTTAAATTTAGCGCTTTACAATATTAAATAAATCTTATCTTTGTACCACAACTGGTATGAAATGAAAATACATTATCAAGCTTTAGTTGCTAAACTATGTTGATTCGGTGCCAATGTGGCAAGCGTGTCAATACCCCACCCGAACCACTGCGTGAAGATGTGTGCTTGTTAATGGTGGATTAGATGAGGGTCAAGTGTTAAGCCACTAATGAGTATAGTATGAAAAAAGGTAGGTATTTTATCACCTAGCGTTATACATATAAATGCAGTGAATCCCACGTCAGCAAGTCTTGCATGTCATCATTATCATCATCAGCCTATGAATGTCCCCTCTGCTGTAGCACAGGCCTTTCCTATGGATGGAATAGGGAGATTGGGCCATGATCCACCACGCGGGCCCAGTGCGGATTGGTGGGTGCAGATGCAGCCGGGACCAACGGCTTAACGTGCCTTCCGAAGCACGGAGGAGCTCGAAATAGTAAATTTTTGGTCACCCATCCAATGACCGACTACTGCGACAGTTGCTTAACTTCAACGATCGCAGCCGAACGCGCTAACCACCTGGGTTATCGAGCTCCTCTTACATGAATTCATTTCAAATGAGACCAACTTGGCTGTTTAGTTAAAAAGCTTAGTGGAAATACTCAGTCCCAATCATAAATTATAGTTAGGTTTCTGAAATCAGGCTCTGCGAGTGCCTGGGTGATTCAATAAAGGGAAATTATTAAAAAACTGGCATAAAAACACTCCTGGGCAGATTGATGTCGCCAAAACAGTCGCCTCGTAGATTTTATTAATTTGTCTTCCTTCTCTGGAAGATGTGCAATTGTTTTTTTAAAGCTCCTTATTGTAACTGATTTTCTAATAGAGATATTGTAATATGGATATTAGATAAGCGCTACTCAAAA